CCCTAGTGGCGTCCTTGCTCCTAGTAGTATGGCCAGGAGCCCCTAGTAGCTTCTTTCTTTCCTTGTTTCTGTGCCCAATGAACGTCTGGCACTGGATCTGAGGGGCCCGGATCAGGCCAAAAATGCAGATCTTTCGCCGCTGCAGCAGCTGGATGCGATAGGTGCCCGGCAGCCAGACCTGCTGTGACTGTGCAGCTCAGAAAAAGCTTGGGAATTCAGAGGTTTGAACCTGTTTGAGATGGAAACGACACGAACCTATCAAATAGGGCAAGTCCTGGTCCTCTTGTGACTGAATAGTTTAACTTGCAAGGTCGACTAGTCTCCTTGCTCAAGCACCTAATTACAAGTTTCAAGCACGCACGTGTTTTCAAGGTCTCAAACCCACACGTTTGCATTCACCGCAGTCCGACCGTCGTCGACCTCATACCGAAGCGTGAACTCGCCTCCATGAGGAAGCGTTCAAAGAGGCCTTCCTTCAGTTGGTTCAGTGCCACACAAAGTACTGTGGGGTCCCCATAGACGTGCACGAAGATGGAGAGAGCAACCACCAGGTCCTTCAACGGGAAAAAAAAACACAAAAAGGCACGGTTGATGGGGTATCCTTCGTCCGCCCCCGTTGTAGCCATCAATGGCTTGGATGTTGCAATAAGCCTGCTTGTACGGGGCAAACAAAGGTGAAACATGGTGAAACTAAATGAATGCCAGCATCTAGATTGCCTAGCTGAAAACATGCATGCAGTAGTTTTACTAATGAATTACATTTTGTGCACCTCATTTTTTTGGGAAGAAGGAAAGGCCCAACCCGTAAAGCAACCCTTGCGCGGATGTGGGTCCTTCTCCAACTCAGGTGCCTTGATTCCTTCCAAACGAGTGAGGCAAGCCTCAAGGGCAGCCTCCAGGGGATCGTCAAACGAGTTAGGACCATCCGGTCCCAGCCAAAATCCTTATGGTTTTGAATACAAAGGGATTGGGATCAATGTTATCCATAAATCAGTTCCAACTCCTTTTTTGCCAACTAGTTATGAATATGTGATAATATCTGCATAAGAAGGACTTGGAACTGATTTCTGGGACGTCTTCAACACCAGGGAATCCCAAAGCTACAGAGCCGGCCCGGACCTCCATGTTGCGGACAAAGTGAACCGCTACGTGCGGAGACCCGCCCAACTGTTCGGCCCCAACTTAGCGGAACCTGGGGTGCGAGGCTGGCACAAGGTAGGTCAAACGCAAAGCGGGATTTCAGGTTCTCCATGGTTCGGTGTTTTGACGGCCATTGAGTGATGCAACAATTACCGAACCATGGAGCCGTTGAAGTCAAATGGGGATCCCTTCATATCCCTTCCTCCCTGAAGGACACTGTCTGTGAAGGACACTTCGTCACGTAAATCAGGCATGGCAGCGTTCTCTTCCAGATCCATAAGAATGGAACCACACAACTTTGACACATGAGGAAAACACTCCCCGTCAAATCCCATCAATGTGTCAAGATCCAAACAGGTGGATAAAAAGACACACACACTTCTCACAGAGCCCCCGCTACTTGTTTTGCTCATCCCACACCATCTGCTCCGAAAGAATGGTGCAGCTGTACCTGGAAGTGGTTGCAGTAGAGCTCAAAAGGCAAGAAGCGGAAGGCAGCACACAGCAAACCTACCGCTGCACTGGCTGATTGCCTGTTGCCAAGAGCCTGGCTGATGCTGAGAGCATAGTGTGGTAAGAAACTATCATACCAGTTGGGATCCATTCGATTTGGAGAAGTCTTATCGAAAGCTACACTATTATTATTAGGAGGCCACTTAGGAGGCCTGAAAAAACCTGGAACAAAACAGAAGGCTGAATGACACTGCCATGTCTTCGGCCTTCAGCCCTAGGCAAGCCAAACTGAAGCAAAGAAGGACATTCTTCTAGCCCACCTAGGCTCCAACCCCCGCCTGCTGGAAGCGCGCGAAGATCTCTCCCATGGCCGGCTGCAGCACGGAGCGAAAGAAATCCACCTATGCATCAAAAACATTGGACGGGACTTGGGGAGGACTGAAAAGCCGGAGAAACGACAGGTCAGAGGAAAGAAGAAGAGCAATAAGGGGGGTAGTGAATATGTTGTTATATATGTATAAATGCAATAAGTGAACATTTCTCATTTGTCCATTTGCTTTCAAGGCAAGCTCAGCAAAGGGCTCCGTTGTTTGCAGGTCCAGTGCCTTGGCAAAGAAGGCCCGCAGCAGTCGCACGAGACCTGGGACTTTGCCAGGTGCCTCCGTGCAGGACTCGGCGACGAACCCTGGTCGAACCGTGTCATCCAAGGTCTTCTTTGGACAGCCACGAGAGCAGGATATTTGCTTTGCAGCCATGTGCTGTACGATGCTTTTGGATGCTTTGTTCAAGTTTCTGGGATCAAAATGAAAACATGTCGTGACAAACCGCCTTCTGCACGCTCGAACGGCCTGCCACAGATCCGGTGCCAAAATCTTTGGGAGTAGCTCTCCATACAAGGGCACTGGCGAGTGGCCCAAACTCAGCACGGCGAACGAAGCACACGCGGGGCACAATTAGAATCTTAAAACGTGGAGGCCATCGCTAGTAGGTTGGAGTGTGCAACGTCTTGGGGCTTCATATCGCTTTGAAGATTGATGTGCTTTGCTTCTTTGATCACCAATCCACCAGTGAGTCTTAGTTGAACAAGTCATAGGTAGCCGTTAGCTCTTTGACAGCTTCTTGGGTGCTGGGTCACTAACTGGAAGCCTCGAAAACTGTCTGAAGTACACTAGGGTTGTCAGAACCATGGGTGCATCGGTCGTCGTGGTGGTCTATATATATATATATATTGTGGTGGGCCAAATGTCAGCCAAAAGGGACTTCGTCACACTTGACCTGACCTGTTTCTGAGTAATTCAGTACTTATTATATATTGTATGTTTTTGTGTGTTGCGGTTTAATTGTGCTAGTGTCCCTTGATATTTGGATGATGGATCTGTCAACAGGGGGACACAACACCTGCGCGCACGTCTTTCCAATACCCACCCAGTTGCTGGACAGTGGAAGCATGAAATCTCGTTGCAGCCAGCGATGAGCCAACTAGTGTCAATGGTGAGTTCCCAGGGCATTGAGGATGTGGGATTCAGTTTAACAGGACAAACTGGTCGAGTTCTGCTTGCGTACCGAAACAATCGAAGACGAATGCATTGTCTACGTATGTCTACGTCTGCACCGTCTATACCTTGTGGTGCCAACATGTGCGATGCTGCCACATCTGCACGTTGCACTCCCGCAAGCGTCACGAGAACTACCACACCATTCCGCAACCGATAGGTTACTAGGCGGAGCGGTACAGAAGGGACGAGTGAAAGCCACAGTGCAGCTACAGCTCTGGTTTCTGGCACGCCAGTCCAAGGAACAAGGACTGGCCACCCATTCCCCTCTCACACTCTGTTTCGTAACGACTACATACTAAATATCAAACAAACTGATCTACCGAGTGATCGCCGTTGCAGACATAAGTAGACATGAATTTAGCCAAACAACTTCACAGCAAACGGAGCTAGTCTTTCCTTTCGCAGGGTTCAAACTGGACAGCGCCCTAGAGTTCTGGTGTCGGGGCTGGTCGGAACTGCCCCGAACGTGCCATAGTCGCGTTCTTCACTTTGTTTTCAGATTTTGGCACGTTTCAACCGTTGGACCGGATTCTATCTACGTTTCGTTGCTGCGTCCCACGCAACAAGGCCTGGATTCTGGAGCTTGTTTTTTGTTTGATCCACTTCGGGTCAAGATCAGAAAAAGGCATTCAGCATCGAGCATCGTTCCAAACCTGAATCGCCAAACTTCCAAGGATCGCTCCCTCCTATCGCTCTTCTCTGACTTGCCCCGCTATGAAGTCGTCCTCTTCACGCGCCCTTTGTGTTGTCCGAGGAACTCCAGCATGAGGCCCATGATCTGGTAGCAGTAGGGCAACAAATCTTCCACCTGCATCAGCACTTGGTCACCCGAAAGACCAACAATCAGACGAAGTCTGGGGCGCGTCTGGAAGGTCCTTTCTCCAAACATTCCACCGAAAGGCCTGAGAGACCCAAAGCTGCTCCACCATCGGGAAGACCACCTTGGTGGCGGCGATCTGCACAGCTTTTACGCCTCCTTGTTCAACAAAAACTGATCAGCAGAAAATCACACACAAAAAAAAAACAAGTATGGGAGGAAATGTCTGTCTCACCCGTCTCAAAACCTGGGAAGCGAAACTCTTCACCGACTAAACTCGTTGCCAACCGATGTCCGCAACCGCCGAGCGGCCGCCGTGCTGCCGGCGGTGCTGTGAGCCTTCAAGGCGAGCGCCAAGGAGCCAAAGAGCAAGTGAACGAACTCCGCGTGCCCGCTGCCCCTCCCAGTGAGCGTGCGCTCGGTGGCCCGGTAAGATGAGAAGACTTAGGGGATCTCAGGATTGAGAAGAATGTAGCGATGGCCTCCAACCTACTAGCGATGGCCAAGTGGTCCATGAAAAAGGTCCAAGTGGTAGGAATTGGGTGGAAAGAAATCAGTCGGAGATGAAACAACATTCACCATGTACAAGTGCTGCCATCTTCGAATCAAATTTTACACATCGATTTCAATGACACGTGGGCTTGCATAACCCCTGTGTTTTCTGCAACGGTGGAACCCATCCCACCATCTCATCGTCCCAGGCACGAGCTTGGCAAGGCCCTCACCAGTTGTGTCAAGGACTGGAGGATCTTCACCACCAACTCCGGAGGCACTGTGGGACCTGCGCAACTAGGTTGGAGGCCATCGCTATTAAGACCCTTTTGCTGTTAGGTTGAAGGCCATGCTTGTAGGTTGAAGGCCATGGCCATCGCTAGTAGGTTGGAGGCCAT